TGGGAAACGTCATCCCTCAATTAGGGATCATTCAGAAAGTACGTCCGCCATTTGCCGTTACAAAATTGCCCAGTTTTGCCGTTGCAAGCTCTCACAGCGCCTAGTAGGTAGGCAACATCTTTCTTGTAGAGCACGCGTGCACTGCTGGGTGGCCTACCCCACGTTTCGCAGGCGCCGGGCTGCTTCGATACATTTTATAAATAACAATCTGTTGTTTTTTTTATTTCTGCCGACAAATAGGCGCAAATCTACCAAATCCGTTTGGAAAATATAAATTCATGCACGGTCCGTTCCGTTCATTAGCATGTACCATTAATTATTGGAAAGTAGAAAATTCGCACAAGTAGACTGAAATAAATAAAGAAAAAAATGATGTAGCAACACTTAACTACAGCCCATTTCAGTTTACAAAACCTGAGGTCTTTTTAGGCCTGGTATGTATGTGAATGCATGCAAGCGGCCCGACCCGGCAGTAGCAGCCATACGTCACTCGGAAACATAAAACATAACCCATGCGGGGTGCGGATCAGTTGCCACAGCGTGTTACGAGGACCACCGCGCTGCCTGCTACAGCCGCATGCACCAGGACCACCAGCTTGGAGAGCAAATCACCATCATTTTTTGTTTTCGCTTTGGTCACGCACCAAGATGACATAGCGGGTGCCCGCACGCAAATGTGACGGCGACAATCTCGGAAGAAGGAAAGCAAAGGGGGAGGGGAAACTCTACGGAAAATATAAATATATATGTCAGGGGAAAACAATTTCATATGGCTACATTATCAACTACTTCCACTCGCACTGGTATTGGCGGCGAAGTCATAGAAAACTTACAACAATCGTATCACAATGAGCAGAGTGTAAAACGTCTTTCATAAATAAATGACTGTCGCTGTGAGCGAGCTTGAGATCTCCCTACGTCGACACGTCGCCCTGCACGGCCGCGGCCCGCTCCTCCTCCTCGCGCGTCAGCGGCACGGTGGAGTGGTTGTACAGGCCCTGCGCCATGAGCTGCAGCGCCAGCGGGTTC